AAAGTTTTAAAAAGGTTCTAAGCGGCATTTATAAGACTTTTATAAGGTTTTTATAAGGTTTAAAAAGTTTTTATATGTTTTTTAAATAATTTTAAAACGTTTTTAAAAGGTATTTATATGGTATTTATATTTACACACATAGAAAGATAATTTGTGTCTAAATATATAAGCTTACACATTTTTTTTTTAAATATCAATTTTTTTACTTTTTAATTATCAAAAATACCCTTTTTCATACGACTTTTTAAAAATACCCCTATTTCAAACTTTATATAAAAAAACACTTTAAATGTTGAAATTTATCCAAATATGTGTGAAAACTTATAAATATACACACAAATTACCTTTATATATGTTTAAATTTTTATATATCTTTCATAAATAGCGTAAAATAACTTATAAATACCTTTTAAAAACATTATAAACCATTTTAAAAACCACTTAAAAACCTTATAAAACTTGTAAAAACGATTTAAAACCTTTTAAAACATTATAAAATATTTGTATCAAATTTCCAAGTAGTAGTTATTATATAGAAGTACCTTATAAACCATATAAAACTTTATAATTTTTCATATTTAAACATGGATATTTTTGAAAATGAATAGATAAAGGAGGTATTTTTGAAAAGGGGTACACCAAAAGGGGTATTTCTCAAAAATTCTCTTTAATTTTTTATAATTTTTTTTAATGTTGTTTAAAAATTCTATTTGTATCTTAATATTAACAAAATTAGTTATAACATGTTGAGACATCTTATGTTTTTACTTGACACTTATCATGATCACATGAGTTAGTAAATTTAAAAACCAAGTTTTGACATATAATCTCGTTTAATTGTTAAACTTAAACCATAATTTTAATTTATAAAGATAAACCATAATTCTTATTTATCATTTATATTCCCAAACCAACAAATAACCTGATTTAATTGTAAAATTAAAGTTTAAACCTTAATCCTCTTCTGTAAACAAAAACCGCCATATATTCTTGTTAATTATAAATTTTAAATCCCTATCTTATTAATAAACCAAATTGACATAACTGAATTAGGTTATTTGTTTAATTTTATTAATAATTTTTAATATATAATTCTTTATAATATTTATTTTATATATTTCCTTCTTCGATAGGGTTAATAATATTTCTATTTTATCCAAATATTAACAAAATTAGTTATGCCACGTGTCAACATCTTATCGTTTATAATTGACACGTGTCACGATCTTGTTAATGACTGACTTTGAAAACCAAGGTTTATATAATAAGATATATATATATATATATATATATATATATATGATGTATATAGATTTACCCACATTTTTACGTTATATATATTGTACTTTGTCAAAATTGTTTTACGTTTATAATTGTTTGTATGAAAACTTATAATAATGAAAGTATTTTCTTAAAATGGTTTATCAAATCTACTAAATAAGGGTTTAAATATATTATGAAGAATAAATAATAAAAACTTGGTAATCATCTAAAAATTGAAAAAATGCATAGAGTTGTAAAATATTGATGTCGGAAAACAAAATGATCATTAGTAAATAATATAAGCTATATTAGACAAAAAGGAAATAAAATGACTATAGTTATTAAAAAAAAGTATGAAACACAATATTATGGTAAATAAGCATTAACCTAAACTAATTTTTGAAAAATGGAGAGTCACAATGAAAAAAAAAAGCTAAATGATTATAGTTATAAAAAACTTTAGAGAACTATATGTTAAAACCCCGCAATTCATAAAGCTATAAGAGATGATAATAAAATTAGACAAAACTATTCTGATCTCAAACCAAAATTGTTAGTGACTTTGTGTTTATAATGAAGTTGTTAAACCACTATAATCGTGTTTTGATGCTATGTGTTCCCTCAAAAAAATATATTTTTGTTTAGTGAATTGTTCTTCTTTTTATTTACCTTTGAATAATATCCAAACAAACATTTAAAAGGGAAAAGTTCAAAAATTGGATTCGGCATGACCGCTACGGTTTGTTGTGTTCGTGTGGTTATTTGGCTTCTTTGTATTTAATTATGACTCGATAAATCACTTTTAAATAGCCAACTTGTAGATGAATCTATAATATAGGTCGAGGAAAGTCTTCATGTGCTCGACGGAATTGAACATGGTGCGTTCCGGAGGGTCGTCGTAGATAATCTTCAATCTGGTTAGTTGGTATATGGTTCCTCCTGAATCATTAGTCTTATTAAAATTGATTGTATGATGAATAATTAATCCTAGGCCATTTGCTTGATCAAAACTCCATTTGGGCAAGAATTCTCTATTTCGGCTTGGTATGGTCGGTTTGAGGCTCCAACCGCCTGGTCTGGTTTCCTCTTGGTCCGGTCTGGTTCCTCATATGATATCCTCTCCTTCTTCTTTAAGTGTTTTCGTCCTCAAAATTGTACAATATGTACCGAGAGAATGCAAGTTAGCTTTCATATGATTTTGGGAGCTTAGAGTCTTACCTTTGTATGTTTGAGGTTTGGTGATGCGTGGGACATGTGGTGGTTCTCCTTTCAGAAAAATGATAGGATAAGTACTCTTGATTGATCTGGTGTAGTAGTTCGTGTTGTGGAGTCCTTGACTTCTTCTTGGGTTTGGAATTGATCTCTTAAATCCACAGAATCGTCTTTATGCTTTGTGTAATCTTTCTTGTACTTGAATGTGTGTCAACTCTTTGGGGAAGAAACAAGTGTGTTATCACATTCATACAATCACAAAAACTAGGTATACACGTTTCAGTTTATACCAATTCGTGAAACGTGCTAGATTTCACTTTTACTTGCGTTTTATGACAAGAATTATGAAAACAAACAATTTCTCATTTAAACCTAAACTTTTCTCACTAGTTCTTAATATAATAAACTATATAACAAAGCATTATATTCATCATAGATAAATTGGGTAAGAGGATTACCTACCTGCTTCGGGTTCTTGGAGAATGGCCTTTCCGTGTTCAACAAGGCATGTTGACTTTAGGTTAGATCCGACGGTTCTTCTTGTAACAAGAAGCTATGCTATATCATCATTTCCTCCTTTGGAATAGATTAAAAAATTAAGAGCTCTGGATTTTGCTGCTTAACATCATTCAGTGTTGATCTCTCAGTTGGTTTCACATCATGTATCTCCTTATCACCTACATGTGTATCAACACTCTTGGAAAAAGATAAGTGTATTAAAGCGGTCATGGAAACAAGTTACTATGAACCTTTTCAAGTGTAGGGTTGGAGTCAACTTCTTGTTGGCTTTGATCCGTGATTAGGCTTAGCTTGGTGGTGACCTTTCTCTATACGTAATTCTCCATGGTAGGTACCTACATCCTTTTCCACATTCAAAGGCAAGATTAAGTATAATATATTTGAAATAGAAAAACTAAAAATATAGTTCTTGAAACTTTTTTTCAATATGTATGAGAATTATAAAATTGAACATGATTGAAATTAGTTTCACTTGCTAGTGTACACACTTTGCTGTGGACTTAGGGACTACATCATGATTTGTGTGCTCCATATAGTACGTCCTAAACCTGTATCAACAACCTTTGGAAAAGAAAATTCAAGAAGTGGAAGTTTTAAAACTTGACGAAAATAAACTATCACTTGATTTTGATAAGCTTGGTTTCAACTTAGGTGATGTTGAATTTTCTACTTGCCTTTCAGGTCAAGTTGCAGAAAATTTACCTCTCCTATGACATCTATAACATGTTGGTTAATTTAAATTTGGAAAATTAGAAGACTTACTTTGATACTTTCCTTGCAGTTCAAACAATGTTGTTTCGGTTGAATCTTGTTGAACCCTCTTGGTGCAATGGTTCATTTAATGTTGAGAAAGCAACATGATCATGAAGGGAAATCAGATGTGACTGGAGAAAAGAGCATTATTCCAAAAACTGAACCTTACTTCCAATGTGATTGTACATACATGAAAATGAATGTTCTGTCTTCTACGCCAAGCTACCGGTTTCCTCTTCATTATATCTAAAAGAACATACCATGGAGCTTGTCATCTAAAGTTTCCTTGGTATCCTCTTCAACTTCATCGCTATCTAAAATCCAGAATTCACCAAATCCTAGGTCTCAACAAACTTCTGTCCAACTAGTATGGAGACATATAAATGAACCAATGTCTAAGAAAGTCACGTAGGAGCTAAACGGGAGAGGGATACTAGATCAGATATAGAGAAAGCGTTACAAGGCTACACTCTCCAAGAAACCCTAACAATACCACCTTCCTCTGCTCTATCTTGTCTAGCCAGACGAAGACATTAGATCAGAAGTGATTCTGACAAGGTGGAAGCATTTTTGCATCACTGTAGCTGTTGCTTCACAGTTCCAACAATAATGGACCAAGAAACTAAAGTTGTTTGATTATGCAAAAACAGAGCGGATCATGCGTAACCTAACTAGTCGTTAAACCTATGCTTGTAAAGAAACTAAAGCAAACTATTATTTCCGACAACATAACCTTTTCTATGTCTTGAGAAGATCTAAAGATCATGTTCTGATCTTATAAAAACCATATTTTAAAGAACCCTAAAACGAAGAGCCATTGAATCTGATTCCTAATAATTGAAAATTGATTTCGGAACCCATCAAGAAAAAATCAAAGCTTTACTCTGTTTGTGGTACCATCTCTATTCAAAATCAAAACTTTCACACTTTTATTCGAGAGAAAAAGTTATGGCTTTTGAAGTAACGTGATGAACTTGAACTTGATGATCATGCGTAACCTACCTTATGATTGTAAAAACACCTATTATTACATCTGAAGATCATGTTCTGATCCTATACAAACATCTCTCGAAGAACCCATAAAGAAAAATCGAAGCTTTACAAAAGACTTACCATAGAGGAGAAGAATCGTTGAGATTTGACGGCGGACGTAACTCCAGAACCACCGCAAGACTCTGTTTCTGCTTCTGCTATTATCTCTCTCGTTCTTTTATTCATAATCAAACTCGTCGTTCTCGTTCTCTCTTTGTATTATTGTTTCTTATGTGACAAACTTGAATTTGTATTTGGAGAAGAATGAAGAATGAAGGCGCAGCTTGCTTTCTAACCGTTGTGTAATAACGGCTCTATCAGGCAAAGCCGTTTTTTATTTCTTTCGTTAACTAACTAATTATTTTATTTTCTATTAAAACTAGGTTATGAAAAAGTATATATATCTATATATATATATAAAGTTAGCTTTTTCTCTCTTCTCTTTAACCCACATCATCATCCACTTCATTTTATTATTGAATTTCTAAAATTAATTATACCATTTTATCATTTAATTTAAGATTTAAACCTATGTAAATAAGCTTTTCAAAAAGGGATATGAAATGTTTTTTTTATATTATACATTATAAAACTAAAAAAAAAGTTAATTGATCAAAAGTTAAAAAAAATTACTAATTATCGATTATACTAACAAATATATTTATAATAGATTATAGTTTTAAGTGAATGTTTAAAAAATATATATATATATGATTATATTTACACAATCTAAACCTAAATTATAATGGGATTTAACGAGAATAGAACAAAAAGTAAGAAATTTTGAGAATATAATTCTATCTAATCCTGTCTCACAAAATTTTCCAACATAAATGAGATAGGTCGGACCGAAACATAAATTATCATTTTTTTTAAACGTATAAAAAGGCAAAAATACAAATAATATTTCTTTATAGGTTTCCAATATGAATTAATTATTTTTTTCCAATAAACACATATGTTAAACTAATAAAAAAAAAAAATTAACTATATTTTATAAAAATTGAAAATTAAAATAAAAACACTATTAAATAAAATAAACTAAATATAAAGTAAATTATACTAATATGTTAAATTTAAAAATTGTTCCATATGAAAAACACAAAATATATAAAACATAAAATCAGAAACAAATATATAATAGTATAAAAATGATCATTACGAGATATAAATTACGACAAATCCAAAAAAGAAAAACATAAAAAAAAAATTTATGACAATATATAAAAAGATAATGTAAACAATAAAAAATACAACAATCCGCCCAAAACTCACAAATCATTTTCAAATTTCAGGCCAACATATTAAAAGAGCCCACAATATTAACATCTAGATCTATATTTGGTAAAAACCCTAATAGCACACGTTTTTCAATGATTCTCCACCGCACTTCCGTTTACACCCACACTTCGACTTAAACTATACCCACTTAATTTCTCAACAACTAATGAAGCTAAAACTCAATAGTTTTTCTATACTAACACAATCTAAGTTTTTAAAAAGTAAAGTATGATATAGTGAAAAGAATAAGTACAAAATAAAATACGAATCAATTACGGAAACAGACTAGTATATATATATAACGTAGCGCGGGAAACAGACTTATTGTACTTTTTTAAAAATTTGATAAACGTTTATGATTTTCTTTTGATAATTTAAAATAATTAAAGTGTTTTCTAAAAAATGGTTTCTACTAAATAAGGGTTTCAATATATTATGAAGAATAAGTAAATGAAAAAAAAAGAATAAGTAAATGAATACTTGGTAATCATCTTAAAATTGAACAAATACATAAATTTGTAAACTATTGATGTCAGAAAACAAAATTATCATTAGTAAATTAAATAGCTATATTAAACAAAAATGAAATAAAAGGACTATAATACAATAAAACCTCTATAAATTAATAAATTTTGCTGGTCCCAAGTCGGGCCAGTGTAAAAATTAACTAAATTCGAAAAAAGAAAAAAAAGAGACTATAATAAAAAGAAAAGTATGAAACGAAATATTATGGTAAAGTCCGGCCCGACCTAACAAGGCTTTTCGGGCTTTACTTCCGGATAAAAAATCAACTTCTAAGTTCATAATAGTTTTAAAAAACAATATTTAAAAGTATATTATAAAAAGAATGCATCAAATTTAAAATAACTTATCAATATTCATTAAAACTAACTTACTTTAAGAGGAAAAAATGAAAACCAAATAAATTGTTCACACTTTAACCCAATAAAACATGGAACAAAAATACTGTAAAGTAGACGATAAAGAAAAAAATACTTTAAAGTAGATGATATATACTTTGATGATTTCAAAATAAAGATACTTATATATATATATATATATATATAGTTTTAGCTTTGTTCCGTTTTGACATATATAAATAATAGAAAATATCAGAGATAAATATTTTAAAATTATTAAGTAAGGCTAGTAAGTAAATATGAAAACTAATTGAGTAATCAAATCTTCTAGTTAAACTAAAACATTAAAAAAATCAAAATATATTTGTTTAAGGGCTTTTCGGGCCGGCTCGAGCGCGACAAAGTTAAGCCCAGAAAACCCTTTAGCCAAATGGGCTTAGCCCAAAAGGTCCGGTTTTTTCTGGACATATATATTTAATCCCGAGCCCGATGTTTTTTCAGGGCTTTAGGCCTAATTGACATGCCTACTCAAAGTTATAAGAGATGATAATAAAATTTGACAAAACCGTTCTGATCTCAAACCAAATTGGTTAGCGACTATGTGTTTGTAACGAAATTGTTAAACCATTATAATCGTGTTTTGATGCTATGTGTTCCCTCAAAAACTATTTTTTTTTTGTTTAGTGAATTGTTCTTCTTTTTATTTACCTTTGAATAATGTCCAAAAAAACATTTAAAATGGAAAAGTTCTAAAATTGTATCGATTAATTTATCACGTAAAGTAAAAGTTGAAACGGTTCATCAAATATAAAAAATATTGCAAGAGTTCATCAAATAAACTATACGTTGCAATAGTTCATACAAAAATCAAATGTTTACTGATTTGTCAAATAGTCATAATTCAATTAAATGGTTGTAGTAATCCATTTAATACTATTTTAATAATTAAAAATTGAAAATAAATTATGAAAAGTTAGAACTGTAATAATTTCTCTAATGGATTTTAATAGGCGTTGACAAAAAAAATTGATTTTAATAGGCTTAGAATTTTTTCATAGAGAACTTTTCTAATGTAAATTGGCTCAAATATAAATAGGTTGTGACCAGATCGTGACAATATACTCGAATAAATCATTATTTTACTCATAAAAAAATACTTAATACCATTCATACAGTAATCCGAAATTCGAACACATAAGCAAAACTACCAATAGTATTTTAATCTAGTGGCAAACACTTAGAATTGATTCATTGTTCTCCACGTTCAACCCTTTGAAAATATAATATTTCTAAGAAAACATAGAAAAACTAATAAAATCAATTTTGGAAGGGATACTTTTGTTACCTATTGTTGACCCCAAATGATACACGATCAGAATGACTCCTACGTAAAATCACTTGATGATCGAGAGATTCCAAGCCTTAACTTGCGGAAGGTGAAACAAGGGTAGAAATAGGAATGGAAGAAGATTGACTAACTCAATTGATGAACAAAAAAATGTATTTGAAACACTCAAATAACTTATCCTGCTGCTTCAATAGTACTTAATGCATCAGTCATTAAGACTAAAGAATAAACACACAAAGAACTAACAGCTTTGTGAAAAAGAAAATACTTTATATTAACTTATAATTCGATCAAGGGTACTATAATGAGGAATGATTTTATAAAGGCCAAAATAAATTAACACAACAAAAAAAATTGCAAAACATAAATAATATGGCCATTGGAACTTTCATTACAAAAATCGGCCAAAATAAGGAAAGTCTATTCTCTTGTATCTCGAAAGTTTGGAGAGGAATGTGCGACTTCTTGGAATCTTCTGGGATATCTAGAGAGTCTTCAAAACACAGCTTCTTTGGTAGCAAGA